ATTAATATTAATATATATAAGTGAAAATAATCTTCCTACTTATCATCACAGTATTTTTAATATAGGCTGATTGAGTATTTTATAAATAACATAAATTTTAAGTCGGATTTGACACTTCACAGAAGGCATTGGTCGCATATATTACGGAAAGTAATTAAATAGAAATTAAACAATAATGGCCAAATTTTTAAGAAATCACTGTCAAATTCTAGTATTTTTAATTTTAGTAATTAGTTTTAATGGTAAGTTGTGAACTTTATGTAGTTCTTTAACATGCTTCAAAAAATTCTGTAGAGAACAAATTAATTAAATTTTAAAACAAAAATTGTTTTTGCAGGGCAATGTGATGCAGGATGTTTAAGTTCTTCAAGAAACTTATTAGGAAATATGACAAATCAAAATAATGGTAAGTGCTTATAAAGATTAATCCCTTGCATTTTGATACTTTAACTGATCACATCTGAATTTCATTCCAATTAGTTATGTTTTTAAAGCCGTCAGAGTTTCTTTGAGTGCAAATGTGTTCTTTAAATAAATTTGTTTTTCAAATTTGTTAAAATCATTTCTCTATTTTGAAATTGAAAATTTCCATTAAAATTTATCGTACCTACAAAAATTAAATTTAACTTGCATATTAAACCATGAGTTAGTAAAAATTTTTTGAAAAATTATCCTTTTTCAAATTTTTCAAATTTTTCCATTAACACTTTTTAACATTGACCGTCAACATCAGCGACATCAACGCATTTAATACATAAATCCAATATTACATTTACACAATCTGATTACAGGTTGTATATGTATCTAATGCACCTTTGTCGCGTCGCCGGAATAGAAAAAGTAACAAGGTTGAATATATAAAAGTTCATTTGAGTAAAAAATTTATTATTCTCTTTCTAATACAGAAACCAAAACAAAATAGCCTTTTAGAAATTCCAATATACTTTACTACATACAACTGTACTTTGGTTAAAATAATCAAGAAAATTCTTTAAATTTTACCAATTCTTGCTTTCATGCTATTCCTGAATGTGATAAAATTTAAGTTGCAATGCTTCACCTTCCTGAAATAAAAAGTTTCTATATACGAGTATGTATGTAGGTTTGTATATACTATAATATGTATTTGTAAATTTTAATGTCAAAAACTGCATTTTTAATGCTTTAGATCAAAATTTCCACAAAACCTTTTATAAATTTCTGAATAAGATTTCTTTTACAATTCCATGTAACATATTATAGAATACATACAAATACAATTGGTCTGGATGACTTATTGCCCAATGAAACTAAAAATTTACATTTTAAACTTAATTTTTTACATTTACAGACTGACTATATCGTACATTGTATAGGTATGTATAAGTATGTAAATAACAGTAGCCATCCATTGCCTTGGGTATAATGACATTATCCATTTTCTTGTACTGCTTCCTACATTTTATACCTACTATATAATATTGTAAATGGAGAAAAAGTATAAAGAGAAAAATTCATTTATGGTTTATATTCAGATGACTGAATTTAAATATGATTAGTCAAAGTGAGAAATTTAAATTTGCAAATTATTCATCTTAATCCTTAAAAAATATAGCTTTTTTTGTGGAAATAAATTGATCATCAACCAGATTTATGCATATGCATTAGGGTGACCATGTATTTTAACAAGGAAAAATGGGACAACAAAAATATGTAAAGTCGCCTATGCATAAATAAATATTTATGGTCAGAAAATTGGTGAGAGCCAAGAACTTCAGTTACGTCATGTTTTTAAAGAGTTTTCTTTTGTTGAAAAAAAAGCTGAGCATATAAATTATCAAATAACAAAATTGTCAACTCAAAATATGAAAGATTTTGAATTGATATTTTTCATTAAGTGTCAAATCTTACTGTTTCATTAAGTGTCAAATCTTACTGTCTTAAATAAATATAATGCAAAGTAAATTTGACATCTCAGAGGAAAATGCTTATTTTGATGCAACTTATGGAATATTTTACGGAATCAGACGGATATTGTGCACCCAAAAAACAGAATATATCCTTGAAATGAAGAGAGATGGTCTCCCTAATACATAAGCTACATACTTTACAATTAATATGTATACAATATTAAAGTATGAATTTTCTTCATTTTGAAAATGGTAATTTCAAAAAATGACAATCAGTTTTATGAGCTTTACATTCAATGATAAACTGACAATTGTATTACAGTTATCAACTATGTATGTGTCAAATTATTTACTTATATGTATTTGAATTATTATTATGAATTTCGAAAAATTTTTTAAACAAATTAGAGATTTATAGGGTTAACAAAGAAAAAATACTTAAATTTGTTTTTTTTTTTTTCAACAATGAAACTGAAAACTTTAATTTATCAAAATTTAAGACTTTGAATTACTACATTTCACTAAAACAATAAATGATGATAAAATAATGGAATAAATCCAGTTTCATTATGAAAAATTCACTCATAATTCACTCTTAATTTGTGATATAATGGTATAGGTACTCATAGTTTGGGTATGAATTTATTAATGTGTAATTTTGTGTAATAACAATAGAATGATGTAAGAATCTTCTAAAGAAGTTTTCTATTATTTTATGCATTTGATGAGTGTAATTAGTGCATAAATAATTTTTTTCATTCAAATTTAAATTATTCTCTTATATTTTTGTTAGTACCAATAGCTATTATCAATCATGCGAAATTTCGACTTTTAAAAATTTTGGATTCTAGTTTAGTCATAATTATATGAATTTAAATGATATTTAAAGATCCTCTGTCAGTTGTAAGCCCTTCTTTGGTTAACTGTACTATGACTTCAGCATATAATAATTTTAAATTATTCAAATGTTAATTACAAGCGATGAAATTTTTAATTTTATGCGTTCTAGAAATAAGTTAAGCAATATTTTTACATAATTGTACTCCACCTCATTCATGAAAAATAATTGACAAAAAAAGCAAAGCGGAAGCACTTTCCGATTAATTTCAAAATTCATTATGGTATTATTCATTATTTTCGGTTACTTTTGTTAATAATTCGAATTCTGATTTGAGAACAGACAAAATTTAAGACTTGAAACTTGTCTCACAAAGATGTATATTTTTACCGCACGCAGATCGACAATTGAAATAAACAAGATAGACTTACTTAAACATGTACATATACATGACAACCCCCAATGCGATCGCCTAAAAATTAAAAATTTCGAAATATTTGTTTGATCAGCCTCCTCATATTCGTATTTTCTAGAGTAAAGTTTTTCTGTTTTTGGAATTCATTTTTAAAATTTAAAGTGACTCCAATTATGAAAGTTTCACCACAGCTGAGTAGCTTTCATTTACTATAAATTGTCGATTATAGTATATTGAAGCGTCGAAAATTTGTAAATATTTATACATACTTAAATATTTTAATCAAAATTTAGTATCGATTTCGAAGCACCTGCATTTAAATTGATTTAATTTTTTTTATCATTTCAACATGCGCGCCTCGAACATTAATACGTAAAAAATAATATTGTTTTGAATGTTCAAAACAATCTCTCGAATTTAATATTCTCAGAAATTTTTGACACTCATTCAACCCCATGTAAATTTGTCGTTTTCATAATAGGAAAAAGCTTTGTAGTAAACAAAATTATTTTAACATTTATTTACTCACAATTATTATGATTAGTTTATGCTATATTTTGAAGTACATATCTATAGATAAATTATGTACAAAAATAACAATTATGAGAAATATGGCTGTTCATTGTTTCCTTTAATTTTAGAAAATTTATTTTAAGATGATTGATAAAAGCTAAAATGTTTTCAAAAAATGTCACCAATATTTCTGTTGCTCTCAATTATAAAACATTTCTTTTATAAATTTAAAATCATTGATATGTAAGTAGCTGGAGAAGAAAATGACGTATCAGTTGTATCACCTAATAAAATAATTCTACAAAGCGACAAAATCTTGTACAATACGTTAATAAATAAATAATAATTGTAGCGTAGCTGCACAAGTTTTGTTTAATACTTTTTTATGAGTAAGTCTAAAAATAAAGCAAAACTTTTTATTAACTATAAAAAAAATAAACAACTCTGAGCAACATGTTATTATTATTACTACCAAAACATCTCTAAAGTAGTTATTTTACTACATTTTGGTTTTAATTAGAAAATGTAAGGATTTTTTTTTTGTTTTGAAGTTTTAATATTATTTATTGATATAATGATTCTATTAATATTAAATTATAATTATAAATGTAGTTTATAATTCATTTAATTATAATTAGATTAATCAAAGTATTTACTAAAATGAAATGGTTTTTTTCAGTTTTGGGTGTCAAAAATTTTGGGAGTTATTTTTATATATTGAAAGAAAGACTATTAAATAGAAGCAGATAATAAATTATCGCAGTTTACGGCAGTATTTACAACGAAGTTTACCCAGTTAATTTTAGTTAACACTATGATTAATTTAATTTTAATCGAGTGACATATTATATATGTTGTAATTCAATAATAACAGTTTATATATAACTATATTTGCAAAACGTTTCTATGCATATAATCAAAAATCCCTTTGAAACTACATAGTACTAAACGGAGTTAGAACACATAGTCATGTTACATGTATAAAATAAAAAAAAGCTCGAAAATTTTTGTGGCAGATTTTTACTATAATTTAAATATAATCGAACACTCTCTTGTATAAGTATATGCACACATACGGTTTCACTTTATTTATACTTTAGCGAACAAGACAGATGATTATTATTTTTTCTTACCTGATAAAGCTTTATTGAAATAAAACGGGTTTTATTCTCTCTCAGTATTTACATAGTTTTGGTATTTCGTACGAGTACGAAAAATCAACGCTATTATTTCTGCTCTGCTACAAAACCAATACATTAACAAATAACAATGTTTGGAGGAATGGATGAAATAATAGAGCTTAGCTTGACATAATAAATTTTCGTGATTTCATTGTGGTTCCATGTGTCGTTGGATTAAACAGTTTCTAAAATTTTAATTATATTTTTTTTTGTTTTATTTAATTTATTAAATAATTTTTGATTTTTATAATTTATTTAATCATTAAAACTATTTGTGATTTTTATTTGTTTTTATTATTTTTTTTTGTTATAAAAATTCATAATTTATTATCGGTTGAGAACTTATAGTGGTGTGATTGCACACTTTAGCAATTTTATATTTTATTATTTTCGTAATTTTTTAATACTTTTTATCGGGCTAATTAAAGTTAAACCGTCACATTACTGCATTTGTACCGTGTTCATTTAAAAGCTTTAGATTTCGGTGTATTTTTGTAAAATTTGCATTTTTAAACGAAACTTTTTTTATATTAAAAGCAGTGAACTTGTGTAATTATTTAAGAGAATATTAAAAATTACCAAAAAACAAAAATAAAAGAAGGTATACTTTTGGTTTTTATATATCCACATATTTTTCATAAGAGATCAACAAGTGAATATAGAGGCACAGTACTAAATAATATTCTTTATAAATTTTGTGAAAATCCAGAATAAATAGACCAGCCAATATGAATAATTTGAAAATACCACATTCACCAAATGGTAAGTTTGATTTTTTTGTTTTTAATTAATAATTTTTAATTATGACATTTATTTTAGTTGTTAAGAGCCACTGTACTGTTATTGATTTATGTAGATCAGTTAGATTTTCGGATTTTCGAAAAAAAATTTATTAGAAGTTTTTCGAATAAGTTGCTTACAATACAATATTAATCAATAACATATTAATCAATATAATATAGATTAGTTTATGTAGATAGGTAATAAAAGTGAAATTATTGAAATTGATTACTACCATAATTGATTTCCCGCCATACATATACTCAACTTGCGAAATTTCTTGTTTCTTGTGTTATTTTTTAAGGTACCTACATATAGATATAACGTACATGTATTTACATTGATAGCATTATTCCAATACCTACGTCTAGAACTTATTTGAAAATATTAAATTGAATGTACATAAAAAATATTCAAATGAAACACTCTTTTTCCTGTTAGTACTAAAAACTAATATAAATTTTAATATAAATGATTTGACGTTTATTTAGTACATGTATATGTACGTACCTATAAAAATATAGGGTCATCTACCGGAATAGTAGAACGTAACTAATTCTTTATAGAGGTTGGAATGTTATATACATTTAGAATAATATACATGCATTCATTTTCTGAAATTAAACCATCTGAGTATTATTATACGCTAAAATATAAAGAGAAATTTTGTATATATGTATGTATTTGTATTTTGTATATTCGAAATTATTAATATATGTATTATTAATTAGTAATATATTATGTATATTCGAAACTGTTAGATTATTCAAATTAATTAAAATGACAAAATGAAATAATGCATTTTGTTGTATGTGGTATGCATGTATATATGTATACACATCATAATCGATCACATACATATAAATAATTTTTATATTTACTTTGTGAATTTTAAGAAAGTCATAATATTTAACATTCACTTTTGGTCTCTAATGCACTTTTCTGTGCTGCAATACTTTCAAAACTTTTTTAATTAAGTATACCGAAAAAAATTAAGTGAAAGCCAAATTTTAAAATAATAAAAAGAAAACTTATGGTCATTTATTATTTTTTAATTTTTTTTCTGGTTTCTTTAGCTCGCATCTAGTACAGATTATTGAATTAATTTGGGTCAAAGACAGAACATTTCCAATAACAAAGCATTAATATCCAACTACATTTTTTAGCTACATTTTTTTTTTCTTCAATAACAAGTTAAAGCAAAAAAAAATTTTAAAAAATGTATTCATGTATAAAAAAAAATCTTCAGAAATTTTTTTTTAAATAATTCATTAAAATTTTCTAATACATTAATTTTTGTTTTTCTTTTTCTTTTTGATAATCAAAATATTAAACATTATTTGAGAGTATTATTTTAAATTCAATAATTCGTTTATAATCGGTGAATAGTTTCTGAGTGAAATTAAACTGCGGATTCGTTCTCTATTTGGTTTCATTTGTTAATTCGATATGATTATTAATTACAACTAATCGATTATATCCGATTTTTTAGAAGGATTTAACATAGGCTACGATGAAAGTGTTGCAAAAGTCATCCAAAACTAAAACTGAGAAATTATGTAGTCAATATCATAATAACTTTTAAATTTAATTTTAATAAATTGTGATATGTCAACATTGTTGACATTATGACGCATGATACGTCAAACTATTATTTCAATGTCAAAACTACGAGTAGGTTTTATTTTAGATTTCAACAAATTTAACTACTATTTCATTGCTTGTTCATATTTTTCCATATTTTGATATTAATGAAATAAAATTTTGCTTAACATAAAAGAAAATTCATTAACGTATTGCCAGATGCACGTATGACGTTAGATTATAATATGTATGTACATAATGTACTCATTGTGTATGCACGTATGAATGCTATAAACTTTTATTAACTTTTTGTCAATATCAAATATTTTTAATAATGATTCATAGTTGAAATGAAAGTCGTTCGTAATTTTACAAACCATTAAAAATACTGGTTATACACAAGCTTTCATATAAACTTTTTCTTTAAGTAAACATGTATGTATGTAGGTACCCAATTTAAGCAGCTATATTATCTAAATTATAACTATCATGAGAATGTTATTTCAGAAATTAAATTATTGATGCTTTCTAATGCCTCTGGGCTAAAAAATAAATTACTTATATTTATTTTTTTAAATATTGAAAAGATTTTTATTCTAAAAGCAAAAAATTTATAAATTTTCATGGTCAGGATCAAGTTCAAAGAATGTTTATTTTATATGAAATTTAAAAGTACGTTAGAACCTTGAAAAAATAAATCATGTGTTTACACTATATGTGACTATAATAGCGATTAAGTCATCGTGTTTACTAAAATTGAAAGTAAAATGATTGACAAAACCAAATAAGTGGTCCTTTACCAAATCTTACATTTTAAATTTAATTTAATTTGCAGTATTTAATGTTAAATAAAAATTTTCTCTTGGTTTAAAAGCAGCATAATATTCAATTTTAGAAACTAAAATTTTTGTGTTCTGACAGTGTCTGCATATACATAGATACTGAATATGCGAATATAACTTTTAATCAAATTAAAAAATTGATTGTGTTGTGCCGATCTAATCAGCAACTTGTAAATAGTTTTGATGTGTGTTACATTTAAAACTTACACCTCAAAATGCATGTATTGCATTAAAACAAAGCTTTAAATAGTATATAATTATTTTGCAATACATAGGTACATACATATACATTAAAACTTTATAGAATGATTGTTAATGACCTAGCTACTCTACCAAAATCACAGCAAAAAATAACAAAAATATCGCGCGATCAACAGAAAAGCTTGCATACATTAAAATAATTTCAAAACGTTTAAGTATGTAAATGTGTTTAGACCACTTATATATTTTTTTAAAGTTCACATCCGTTAAAATTTACACATATATGTATGAACATATTTATGTAGGTAACAAGTAATAAAAATATGCATGCTTAGGGAGACCAGTACATCTTAATTTTATAAATAAAAATAATCAGAGTTTTATATACATAACATTAATAATAAATGAAGTCAGAGAATTTTCATGTCAAGTTAAATTTAAGGTTAACGAAAGGAAATAGAATTGAACATGTCAATTCAGTGGTAAATACTTTCCAAAATTTTGTTGGCAATAAGATAATTTTTCATTCAATTACTGAATTGCCTATCTTTAGAATAATTTGAAAAAATTTTAACACTAAATATTTATTAGTTTTCGAATAATTCTGATGACTGAAGTTTTATTAAAAGTAATCGAAGTGCTGGTTTAAATTAAATATTTATATCAGACATCCATTACCTAGATCAAGCATTAAGCATATCGTCAACAGGCGTAAATAAAAACTTCTTTTAGTCGCAACTATGCAACTATCAGTTATCAAGGAACAGCGTCATCATTTATGGTTGGAAAGGGGGGGGGGGGGGGGGGAAGAGGGGAATAAAAAGAGGGAAGAGCAAAAGGGCAAGTAAAATAAAATGGCGAGCACAACTTAAAAATAATAATAAAAACAAAAAACCAAACGACGAATAATTGATAATCTAGATAAATAGAGACGAGAGAGAAACAAGAAGAAACGAAAATATTACTACAAATTTAAATTAGACAAAAGTCGAGATCTAAGAGTACCTTTACTAATAGCAGGATCAAATACCAAAGAATTAGAATTAACAGAACGCAACATTCTAATGACCGGCTAATTCCTACCATAATCATTAGGGTGATAGCGAACATTGTGCAACTCAACAGACCTAAGATTTCTTACATTATCCCTAATGGAAACGTGCTTTCTACCACATCTGTCTTCAAGCATTTTGTGAGAACTATTTTTAAATACGTTTTTCTGGTATCAATGAATGTTTAAGTTTTATATTTTCCGTTTTCATTTTATTTCGATAAATGTTTTAGTTATATACATACATACTACTTAAAATCATTAATACCAGAAAAAGTGATTTTTTTTAACTTTTATACCTGGTCACGTTATTTCTACATTTATTGTGACTAAGGAACACTACAAGTTTTATTTAATAACAATGAATATTAATAAAAATGAGCATTATATTGATAATGGAATACAAAATTAAAAATTTCTGAATAATAAAATGTAGATAATACAAAAATACACACAAAAATCGTACGCCTGTTTGCAAAAGCACGTGATCATAATATTTCTCGATTGATAAATAAAGTATTTGACTGTCTCAGCTGATAGGAAAGAATATTGTGCAAGACAACTTTGCAAGAATATAAATTTTGTTTATGTACACAAACATACATACATACAGACATATTTCTGAATATGTGTGGAACGAATTCAACAACAATGGGATCCTCAATATTATTAATCCATCTCATAACATTGGGAAAGACCATAATATTTTCATCAAGATAAAATTTATATACACATACAAATTAAAAAAGGGACACTTAAAGCAATTAAGAATAGTAAGGGTTTTTATCAAAATTGGACTACGGTAAAATAAACGGTACGATATTCCAAAACACCGAATTTATTTTAAATTGAAGTAATCGAAAGAACACGAAGAAAATTTTGTTCTGTTCTGTTATTATTTGTACCTATATAATAATTCTACAGAGTATTACTGAACTTGAGCCTAAGCGACGTAAATAAAACTTGTTTTTTTTTGTTGTTTTTATTATATCTCCCCAAATGTTAATTTATTTATATGTGCATACTTGTATACATATGTATGTGTCATCAATCTATTGAATGAAGAGTATATCAGATTTTTTAGTGTGCCACTCATTTTTTTAGTAGTATAAAGTTTGGAAGTAAATTTTCGCTCAGAATTTTTTTCGCATTTTATAAAAGTCTTTAAAGTCAGCAAGCAAATCAAATTAAATGTGAAAATGAAATATGTAAGTCTAAAATAAAACGTCGATTAAGTAATAAAATATGCACGCAAGAAATTTTAAACGTAAATAGGTTTATATGGCATTAATAAGAATTTTTGTTTTTCCTCCTAGATCTATGCAAAAATACGATATTTTTAATGATAAGCATTAAATACCATATTCAAATGAACGTATATACATATACATACATTACAAAAAATATAACAGTACAAAAATTGAATATTGCAAGTATCAAAATTTAGTTGATAATCGTAAAATAATTATACTTTACAATATATTGTTGAATAATATTCATCACAAATAAATGTGTTATATTGTATAACACATATTTAATTTAATTTCTAATATGCAATTACGATCTCAAACATAAACATCTGAAAATACAGCATCAAACTTCAATACTATAAAAATAATAATGAGACGAAAATAAACCTCTAAAGTTATTATAAAAGCCTTTTTCTCCTTAAAGTCTTAATAAATGACTGTAGCTGAATTACTACAATAGTAGGAGCATTTCTTTATTTTTATGTAGTTGTGAACAATGATTTTATATCACAACACATATTTTAATATCTGCCTATCTATTATGATACATATATGCATATATATATGTATATGTATATATACATATATATACATATATCATGCCCATATGTAAAGCTGCAATTTAACATTGATACTAAACATTTTCTTAAAATTTAATATCTAAATTTAACAAATATGTAAGTATTTGAAAAACAATGTGCTTATAAAACAAAAGCAAATCTTACATTTTATATTGCCGGTGCAGTCGGTCTTCAAACTTAGGTTAGAATTGATCAACAGATCAAAATTTTATTTTTTTTTCAAAGCGCTTTTCATAAATAAAATTTAGATATTTCTTTTGTTTTATTATTATTATTTTTTATATAATTATAAGGGAAATCTAAAACAAGGGGAAAAAATTATTATAGAATTAGAGACTTTGGTTTGCGGTTTAAAGTACAAATTAAGGTTAGTTTAATTACGTACCTGTATATATATATATGAATCTTACTTAAAGAAATTTTAATTATTACTTGAAAATTAAGAAATTTTAGTATAATTTGTGATTATAATACATAAAAAAATTTTTAATATTTTTTTACAAAAGTTTGCAAAAAGAAGAAATTTTTCTAAAAAAACATTTTATTCATACTTATATAAAATAACATGTGTGTTAATATTCTAACCTTTTGATACTTAAATATAAGTAGCCTATAATTATTTCTAAGGTAGGTATATACAAAAAAATGTTAAAACCTGTAATGAATTTTAAGTGAACCTGTAAGATTTCAATCTCATTTAAAATAATAGAATAATTTAATAAACTTTACTGGTGGTTTTAAATTGTAATTATAAAATATATTTTTTAATAATGACAAGTGCACCAACATTCCAATCCGACTACTCGTATGTATAATAAATTCAGCAAAGGAATTATGTTCTTTAATAGAACTTGAATTAATTAGTTGATACAAAAATTTTATTTTTAAGTTAATTATGTGGTCCGATCGGAATGCAATAGATTTTGTGTTTCTAAATGGTACACGTAAAAAATTCATATAAACAAAAAATTCATACTTATAACAAATGGAATTATTCTTAAAATATTCAATATTTCATAAAAGTGTTATAATTAAATTTTAAATTCATACCAAAATTTATTTTCATCGGAAATAATCACAAATTGAAATTTAATAAAATTTTGTTGAAATTCTATATTGAAATCAATCATTTTCCAAACTAATTTTGTTTGTTGATTGTTTTTTGAATTTGAAAAAAAAATCAGCAGAAATTGGAATTTTATATAGGTACTTATAATTGAATTTTTATATAAAAATTATCTTCTAATATAAATAAAACTATCAATAAAATAAAATTTTTATAATTTTTTTTTTTGCGATATTTGAGAAATTTTTATTATTTTTATTAATTTTTATAATTTGCTTTATAAAAGTTTTATAATTTGCTTGAATTGTTTTATAAAAACTCCATACTTATTTTGTATGCATAAAATAAATGATAATTTTATTTCCTCAATTAGTTGCAATTTAATTTATTCAATAATATTGAATTTTTTTTAAAAATACCTTAAGTGTTTCCATCTATACATATACTTTTGATTATTTGCATAAAGCTTAAGCATCATGTCAGCAGTTTGTTGTAGAACAATATTATAATTGATTCATAATTGAATGCAATTTAATATTAGAAAGTGTCACACGATATCACTGTTCAATTTTTAAAATCAGTTTTATATTCTCGTTTAGTGAGAAGAAATCTTAAGAAATATTTTGCAAATAGAGAGAAAGCCCTATTTTTTCTAAAAAGAAATTTACTTGCTTTACGGCAAATTACAATATGGATCAGTTAAATTAGAGTGGCATTATCAATCTTTTGATAAACAATTAATTATTTGTAATTCTTAAATTATAAAGCTTATTTAACATTTCGTTTTTATTAATTATTGCAGAAGCCGAAAAAGAGGAAACTCTGTCATTGATTCGTGAATCATTGACACACACGATGATATGTGAAGGAACTCATTTTGATGGAAAAATTCCTCATGTTTTTGTTACATTTGGAGCATCTGTAAGTTCAATTTTCCCCATATTTTATTTCATATATTTAAAATGTTTTAAAATTTACCTAAAAATCATAATGAAATTGCTGTATTCTAAAATTTGCTTATCTAATTTAGTATTTTTTTTTTTATTTTTCAACACTAATATAGGGAGATTTAGCTTGTAAAAAGATTTATCCAACATTATGGTGGTTATACAGGGATAACTTATTACCAAAACCAACACTTTTCTTTGGTTATGCTAGATCAGATATTACAATTGCTCAATTACGTGAAAAATGTATTAAATACATGAAAGTGAAACCAAGTGAAGAGAAAAAATATGAAGAATTTTGGAAATTAAATCATTATGTACGTGGCTCTTATGATAAAGGAGTTGATTTTGAAAATCTTGATAAAGAAATTAAAAAATTAACATGTGATTTAACAGCAAATCGTGTATTTTATTTAGCATTACCACCAAATGTATTTGAAATAGTAACATCAAATATTAAGAATCATACAATGGCAGAGAAGTATGAAAAAATTTTCCAATGTTTTTTAATATAAATTAAATTATAAAATTTTTTGTAATATAAATTTAATATTTTCTTTTTTAATTTTTTAGGGGCTGGAATCGTGTTATTATTGAAAAACCATTTGGACGTGATGCTGATTCTTCGAAACAATTAAGTGATCATTTATCGAAACTATTCCGTGAAGATCAAATTTATCGTATTGATCATTATTTGGGTAAAGAAATGGTACAAAATTTAATGACAATCCGTTTTGCAAATAAAATTTTTTCACCAACATGGAATCGTGATAATATTGCATCCGTTTTAATAACATTTAAAGAACCATTCGGTACACAGGGACGTGGTGGTTATTTTAATGAATTTGGTATAATACGTGATGTTATGCAAAATCATCTATTACAAATTTTATCATTAGTTGCAATGGAACGACCAGTATCATGCCATCCAGATGATATACGTGATGAAAAAGTACGTGTTTTAAAAAGTATTCAACCAGTTGAATTAAATGATACAGTATTGGGACAATACATTGGTGATCCAAATGGTGAAGGTGATGCAAAATTAGGTTATTTAGATGATCCAACAGTACCAAAAAATTCAACAACACCAACATATGCATTAGCTGTATTAAAAATAAATAATGAACGTTGGGATGGTGTACCATTTATATTACGCTGTGGTAAAGCATTAAATGAACGTAAAGCTGAAGTTAGAATACAATATAATGATGTTGCTGGTGATATATTTGAAGGTAATTCAAAACGTAATGAATTAGTTATACGTGTTCAGCCAGGTGAAGCGATTTATGTTAAAATGATGACAAAATCACCAGGTATAACATTTGATATGGAAGAAACTGAATTAGATTTGTCATATAATCATAGATATAAAGATGCATATTTACCGGATGCATATGAACGTTTAATATTAGATGTATTTTGTGGTTCATTAATGCATTTTGTACGTTCAGATGAATTGAGTGAAGCATGGAGAATATTTACACCATTATTGCATAAAATTGAGAAAGAGCTTCCTAAACCAATTAATTATGTTTATGGATCACGTGGACCAATTGAAGCAAATAAAAAATGTGCTGAAAATAATTTTAAATATTATGGATCATATAAATGGCATGGTAATAATAAATTATAAAAATCATGTGAAAGAGATTTAAATTTTGTACAAAAAAACATAAAAGAGGAGGAATCAAATGAAAAATTAAAATTTTGTCAGGATATTAATGGAAAATATTAATTAAATTTTTGAGGTGAAAATATTATATAATAAAAAAATGCAATTTAATAATTTAAAGATAAGACAAAAAAGAAAAAGAGAACAAAATTGAATATGAAATTAAAAATGTTGAATGTAGGTGATTAATAAATTAATTAATTTTTTTTTTAAAACACTTTAACATTTTTTGTATAAGTTGTTTAAAATTTTTGCGGTATAATTGTTTTTCAATTTTTTATATTCTTTATGGTATAAAATATTTTTTCTACTTTATTTTTAATTATTATTTAAATAAAAAATGTTTTTGTTATATTAAATCATATTTTTATAAATAATTAAATTGGTTTAATTTCTAATTTAAACAGTTTTAAGCGTCAAGTCAATTAATTTCAATATTAAACTTAAGATATTCATTCGTTCAAATGTTTCATATTATCCTTGTACCACCTACTTTTAATTAATGTTCTGAAAGCTTGTTTTCCTTTCCAAACTAATAAAATCAATATGAAGAACAAAAATTTCAATAACATAAAATTCAATTTTGTGAAAAATCCGAAATATTGTATGCATAATTTGCCTTAAGGCAATTTGAATGCTTTTATATTGTATGTGCTTGTATATTGTAGATAATGCAATTGTTAAATTTTAAATTGAATTATTGTAGGAAAATTCATCAAGGATTTGAAAGTTATTAATATTTATAATCAAAATATTGTCCTTAGTTGCTTATTTAGAATGTATTATTTATATTTTATACTCAGTTCTAAGCAATTATAAGCAAAGTTTTTTTGTAATTCTTATGGATAAAGCTATTTTCTTAAATTTTTGCAAGTAAGGCTATTAGGAAACAAAAAAAACAATAATTTTTTAAAGGTTTTAATAATATTTTTAATAAGTAATTGCACAAGGTGATTACTAACTTCACTTGAATTATTAAAATATTCAAATCCAAAATTTTTTTAAGGATATAATGAACAATTTGATATTGGAATGAATTTGTTTTGGTCACGACTTTACTATTGAAAAAAGAAGTTCTTAAATTTTGTCCATTCGACATATAATATCAAAACTGACCACTTACAGAATTCGTGAATTATGAACTTTAAAATTCAAGTTAATTTAAATATTGTTGTTTTAGAAAAATATTCACTCGCATTATATATACATACTTATTTTATGATTTTCATTTGATTGAAATTTTCTCAGAGGATTGGTAATAAGACTTCGACCTTATCTTATATAATCAAAATTGTACAAATAATACATTCTATATCCAAAACATTAATTTAACGTTTTATATTTAATACAAAATGATACGAAACAATATCATTGACTGTATTGAACTGCATATTTTCAGGGTTTTGTGTTACATAACTACTTTTGCATAAAGAAACTTTTTAATAAAAGAATTATTCATTTTAGGTCAGAACAGATCAAAGTAAAAATCTTCACAAAACTTATAGAGAATTTTATTTGGCTCACTGTACTTTTAAATGAATTTCACCTTATGTGAGTATAAAAAAGATTGAATCTAATGAAAGAAATGGGGAAAAAACTCTTTTCTGCAGATACATTTTTCAAAATGCATTGAAGAAAAAAACAACTTAAACTTTTTCTCTTTTATATAGAAAATAAAAGAGAAAAGATTCACTTCAAAAGATTTTTTTTTTAAAGTTTAATTTTCCTCTTTATATAAAATATTGAAGAAAAATCTTTAATAGTTTTTTAATTTATTACTTTGACCATTTCTCTCTCTTTTTTTTATATTATTATTATTATTAAAAGATGAAGGAACTTTATTTGTTTTGCCTTTAAAAAACAATAATCAAGAATAATGCCGACGAAAAAATTAAATTAAAGGATTTTTTTTATTTTTATTGTTTTTTTTTTTATTTTTCCTTGTGTTATAAGGAATAATTATTTAAAAGAGTTTAAAAATCCAATTTGTGTAAAAGTTTGAATTAAATTCCTTTCTTAAATCCGATTATAAGCAAAAAAAAAAAACAATTAATTAAATTTAATTACTTTGAAATTTGAGGAAAACTATGATCAATCATGTCTGTTTTTTTTTTTTCTAATAGGGAGGATGTAAGGGTTTACAAAGTAGAAAAAAACATCAGATATAAAAAAAAATATTTCTATTAATTTTTTTATAAAGGCTTCTTTAATTTAAGAGATATAATTTTTTCACTCTTAATGTAAGAACTTCTAAAATTAAGAGTAAAAAAATTATATTGCAGTTTAAAGAGTTTAGGGTATTCAATAGACTTATGCAGATATTAATAGGGTTTAGAATTTTGCTTTAAAATTATTAAAACTCGCTTTTTTTTCAAATTAATTCAAATATTGTAAATAAAATCGCACAAAATTATAAATATTTAATTAATTTTAATTTAATAAAAATTATTCAATAATACTTTAAGGTTACAAACAATAATGCTTTCTAAATAATTAAAATATTTAAGGTTTAACCAAAAATCATTATTTTTGGTTTAATTGTGGTTGAGTTCGCGGCGACAATACTGAAAATAGATCTGCAAATGTAAAGAGTTTTTGGTTTTTTTTTTTGTTTATAGCATATAGTCAAGGTGGCACTTCTGCGATGGTTTGAGACACAGAAATTTTACTCCGCCGATTTGTCGAATGACATTTATTTCATATGTAGTTGAATTTGAAAATGATAAAAAGAAAATATTGAAGGTTTTTTTTTCAGAAATATTTTGTATATATGTGTATACACAGTTAAATAATATCCTTTAATCATTTCTTAATTTTTTTAAATACTTATATTAATTCTTTTAGGATCAGAATCATGGAACAGATTGGAAATGGAAACAAAATTCTAAATAAATTTAGCGTTTTTATAGATATCACAATACATTGTCTAGTGTAGCTATGCAGTACATCGATTGAACTTACTTTTTCAGATTGAAAAACATGAACTTAATTATCCTCTCTCTATTACTAAGTGCAATATAAATTTTAATTTACATTAAATTGTGAATTAAGTGAATGTCCATAGAATTTCAATATGCGATCACAAATTTGATAAGAAGAAAATTCGTATCTTTCGTATTATTTATACCATCTAAGAGGAAACCTATGTTACAGATTTGAGAAAACAATAACTATAATTTAAGATAAAATTGAATTTTAACAGGTCTGACTTTATCATACCGGCCTATACAATTTCACTTTCCATTTGCCTTTTGAGGTTTTCACAAAATAATTTGTAAAAAAGGGCACTTGTAAAATTTTAAGCAGCAATAATTTGAAAAGGGTTCAAATTGGTAATTATTTTATTCTAGAGAAATGAATTTCTCCTAAAAATTTATTTGGGTGCAAAATTTTGACATAATTTGGAAACAGATGGACGAACTGACGAACAGAATAAAATTAATAATCGAACTTCTTCAATTTTATTTTATAAATTTACTGAAAATTAAATATTAAAGTTATTTGTTTCTAATTTTTTTATAAAGTCCTAGAATTCTATACATATCTACACATGCATATGTAAATACTACGGTATAATTATTAAACATTATTATAAATCACCGTATGTTTATGATATTTACATAGAAATATGTGCCTGTACACGTAGATTATAATTCTATACATACATATATATTTTTATGCACTTATTTTATAGTCTATATAATATGCACTCTACAGCAATTTCATATAGAGAATTTCTATTTAAATTTTCTTTCAATTTCAAACAACCTACTTTAATTTTTCCTATTTTTTTATGCATTTTTTATTTTTTTTTATTTTCTATATACAAAATATTATGTATAAATATTCAGTGTATCCTTAACTTATATGTATATGTGATGCTTTTTGTTTTTATTTTAATATTATTTTATTTGATTTTTTTTTTTATTTAATCGGCCTTCAAAAAAAAATATTCTTTCAATTAAATTTGATGTGGTTCAATTTAATACACATACATTTGTGTATGTATGTATATGGTCATAAATGTGTGTATGGGTTAATGCACGTGTTTGTTTAGAAAAGCAAATACATGAAAAAAGTCCTGAATTTTATTATTTATTTATAAATCTTTACAAAAAAGAAAAAAATTATGATAATAAAATATGTATGTAAAAAAAAATAAAATAAATTTATTAGTTGCGTTCCAAAAAGCTCAAATAATTGAATCTGACTATATGGCAACTGGTGTATAGCAGTTTTAATATAAAAAGAAAAGCAAAAACAGAAATATAAAAATAAAAAACGGATTTTCTATATAGTTTTAGAGTCATTGGCTTGGGTTCTCCCATAATGTTAAATTTTTTTTTGCCTTAATTTTTATTGCACTATAAGGATTTAAAGAGCAAAGAAAAAAAACATAGAAAAAACGAGGCAAATGAATTTTTTAAAAAGTTTATTTTATTTTTCTAGTTAAATTTATGATTTTTCTCTGTGTGTGTGTGTGTGTATTTCAATGTTAGTTCAATTATTGAGAACAGAAAAATAAATAAATAAATGAAAAAAAAAAACAACAAGCCAAATCAAAGGTTTCGTTGCGAGATAATCGGATTTTTGCTTTTGCATTCTGTTGGTGCTGCTGATGCTGCTGCTCTGCTACCATTAACTAAAACTAATTCACATGAAATATGGTGAGAGTGGCTTTAAATATTTTATTCCTTGTTTTGATATTTTCTTTCTTTTAAGGTAGAATTTTCAGTGGAGTTTAAAGGAGTTCAATATCTATCATATTCCATAATGGTACCCCCCCATTCAATATATTTTGGTATAGCTGCGTCCTTTGTTTCTTTTGATTCATTAGTTTTTATATTTTTGTATTTTATTGACATTTTATTATGCATATGTATAAGCGTATATTGTCATACATGAAAGTATATAAAAAATTGTGTTTGAAAGAAAAAAAAAATGTCACTTAATTTTTTATGACTTTTCATATAAATTTTATTGAGTAGATACCGAAAACATATAAACGCATGTATGTGTGAATGTTTTATATTTAATATACGCCAGGATTGAAAATTTTGTAGATAAAATATTGAACGCCTGTGTGAGTAGCACGCGAGTGTAACCGTTTGTGTATAAATATATTTATTAAATCATAAATTTGAAAATATATAGGATTGCCATCTTAATTATTATTTTAAATTCTCAATAATAATTATTAATAAAGTAGAGAAATAAAATAATTTGAATCCAAATGAAATTTCAGTAAAAAATAAATTTGCAAGATGCATAATTCACAAAAAATTCACAATGAACATGTTCTTATGAGGCGAAAATTTTAAAAATCTAAAATAATTGAATATTTTTGCTATGACTTCTCATCTTATTAAATTAATTAAATTAAAAATAATTTATCTGTTTTACAATAATTAATTATGCGTCCAAACAACACAGAACTTGTTTCATCATACCAAATAAATTCCTATAGTGGTCATAATATCATTAAATGATATGCGGTCTCATCGGGTAGTCATAACAACAGTAATATACGTAAGTAGTACGTAAGTACTATACTCTACTTACTATATACACAGTGGACCTCATAATTATTTATGAAATTGAAGGTCTCGATTTTTATACTAAATTTTTTTTTTGTGCGATTCTAGAAGAGAAAAACTAATGATATTAGTTTTTTTTTGAATAAATACCCGAACTACTGGTTACCCCACTTCAAAATTATAATAAAAAATAAAACCGTGTTAGAAGGTTAAAAAAAGGATTTAGAAAAGTCATTTTTTCCCAAAAGTTTTTGTTTTTTTGTTTTAGATTTAACTAGTTTAAGAATATAGAAAAAAAAATTCTAATAGATTGGATTTTTATAGATAAAATTCATAAATAATTTTAATTTTTATTTTTTGTTAAATTATTTTGAAAATATTATGGGAAATATTTTTTGTTTATAACTCATAATATTTATTTAATACATGGGGGATTTCAATGGCACACGAATTTAATATTTCATACAACATAGTTGTGTCACATATAAATAAATTATACGAAAATTAATTTGAAATTTCATTAGGGAATAAATTTTTAAAATTACGATTTAACATTGATATTAGAAATTAATATTTTGTACGACTGAGAATATAGGAAGAAATCATTGTGGTTCTTTAATTTCAAGTCTATACATATACTAATAGTAGGTAGACAGTGTTTAAATGGCAACCTTTAGGGCCATAAATACTCATTTAAGTGCATAAATAATTATGATTTTATTATGGAATTAAGAACGAGTTCATTAATTTTACATTCGCTTACATTAAATATTAAATAAAATCATTCCACAGTGATGGGCCGGGTCTTAAAGGTTAAATGCATTATAAGCACAAAACAAGTATGAAGAATATTTGGGTTCCCTTGCGTCTAAACAGTGTTAAAAATCAGAATTATTTTCAAATCTAACTTTATTTAATTCAAATTTATTTAATTCAAATCTATTAGTTTACTTTTTCTAAATAAAGTTTATTTAGAATAATTTATATTTTTAAAATCTATATCGAACTTAAATATTAAACTTAAAAATAGAAAATTAATTTTCACTTATAAAACTTATCATTTTGATTATAAAAATTTCATACAGTCTTATATTGCTATTATAAAATGTTAAAAATAATAAAATAGATTATGATTTTAAGCTTTAATGTATGTATTCAAAAAAAAATTTCAATTTATGATTTAATTCTCCCATAATTCGGAAATCCAGCACTGTTTGGTGCAAAAGTTGATATCTCAACTATTTCTGGTTGAATTGTTGTCATTGATTCTTCTTCTTGTTCTTCTTTTTTCTCTTCTATTACAATTGGCTCTTGAGTTGTTGTACTATCATCAATATCAATTAAATTTTCAGCCAAAACTAATTCATTTTCAGTTGTACTTTCAGTATTTGATATTGTACTGTTATCATCAAAATCAACATTTAATTCTATTAATTTATCAATTAGATCTTGATTGTCTTTATCGATTAAATTTTCTGATGACTGATTTAAATTTTGATTAACATCGGGAATATTAGTTAATGATTCAGTTGTTTGTTGATTAACTATTGTTTCATTTGTTAATCTCGATTGACTTTGATTTCGATGATTTTCAATTGCTGCAGCATTTATTAACCAAAATGGCCTTTGATCAAATGGTAAACGATTTAAACGATCAACAATATCTTTATTACCCAAAGCATCATATGGTAAACGTGTTGTACTTTCAACATTATTCATATTTAATTGTAATTGATTTGAATTTATGGGTAATCTATTGGGTATAGAATTTGAATCATTATTAAATCGGTCGCCTAATATAGGTGAAAATTCTTGTTCTGGTAATACAACATTTATAAAAACTGGTGGACGTTGAGTTCGATTTGATAATAAATCTTGTTCAAAACGTTCACTTAAACCATCTGGTACTGTAATATTAGTTTCCGGTTTTAATTTATCTTTATAACCACTATGTTGTAAACTGCCAGCAAATGAAGGTCTCTGTCCATATACGAATGATATTAATAAAAGTTGTAGGAAAATGGGAATCTAAAAATAAAAATAGAATTATATTAATGAGAAAGACATTAAAATTTCATTAAATATTTTTTTAATAAATTTTAATTAGAAAATTTATAAAAGATTTAGTATTCTTAATGACGAAGAATTCAAGTTATTCGTGACAGAATCATATGGCATGATTTTATAAATTTTGTGCTATATTTAGAAACCGTGAATTTGGATCCGTGATTAAAATTGAATTGCATTAAGTATACTTTTAATTAATTGCATAAATAATGGTAAAATATTTTAAATCGAGACAGAAAATTACGTAAGAAATTATAAAAGTTTGATGACAAGAGTTTTAATAATTGATAACGAATTTCATTGGTTTCACCCACTGAAATTTATGCAACTATTAAAGTCTTTATTCACTAAAAGATTTTACATTAATTTAAAATATTATAGGAATGAAAGTTTCATTCAAAAAATTTTAAATTTCTCTTTCAAATTTACAACTTTCATTAATTGTGTTTAAAAAATTTTGGAATACTATTATAGCACAAGTTTTTAAAATAAATTATCATAAAATTCAAATTATAATCTTTCATATATTCACCACTAACGTGCATATATTAAGCGTGGTTGTATATGATGAATTAAATTCTGTTAATATATACATATAAATATCAGGCGATTAGTACAAGCATCTAATATAGCAAAAAAAGCCATCAATTAGCCAACATACGTGGGTATCTGCAACTATAACTAAAATCGTCATCATTTATAGTTGGAAAGAGAAGGGGAAGGGGAAAGGGAATTAATAATTAAACAGTCAAAATCAAATGTATCCACAACTACTGCATTCGCCCTCTTACTTACTTACGTACAAAAAACAGACGAATACAAGTTAATTTTGCACAACACACGTAACACTGCGCTCATGCATCCCATAATACTATGACGTGGAATATACTTAAGTTACTGGAATTCCCCCTATAAGGAATTCGACCCATTAAAACCAGGACCACCACTTTATCCACCACAAGTTGATAAATGAAAACTATATCGGAAATCATCCTACAATAACAAAGCGATCTTAAGTCCAAAAGCTGAAGCCTATTCTCATAAGGAAAGGTATTCTAAACGGACTCGTCCAATCCATACCACGAAGAGCAAAACAAAGACTATATCTATATTAAAGTTACGAAGAGGAGACTAAACCTGACATGCGTAATCTAATTCAAAAGAATTATTAGATAAATCTTCAAGCTAACTTGATTAATAAATTTTGTTTACTAATTTGAATACTATATTTTAAAATATAAGTCAAAAAGAGGTTATTAAATTTTCAAACAACATTACAATTATTCTAAGAATAGAAAATTAGTACTAAATAAATCTAAAAAATCAAAACTCAATTTTAAAATAATCTCGAAAATCATAAAAAAATTCCTTAAAAAAAAACCCATACTCTAACTAAATCTTTAAATTCATAAGAAATTTATTGAAATTTAGAATAACAAATTTCTCATTTTCAATATCAATATTAAAAATTCTGGTTTTTCAACTTAACAAATTCAAAATTTGACCTTTTCATTTGAGTTCAAAAATGTTATGGCTAAAATATAAAATTGTACGAGTATATATATGTATATATACAAACTGCAATAAATTTTTTTATATACACAGAGATCTTGTATATAAATATTTTGACTGCACCTTAATTATTTTTTATGAAAATAATAAAAAAAAATAAAAACAGTTAAAAATTTATAGAAAATGTAAAAAGCAATAAGATTTTTAATTAAAATTTATAATTAAAGTAAAGATTATTTTATATCTACAACACCCTATACTTTAGTTATACAATATTCAAATCTAATACAATGTCATGCCAACCCGCTCTATTAGAACAAATATATTAGAGGCAATTTTATTTTTTTATCAATAATTTCTAAGAATTTTTAATTGTACTGGGTAATAACGTAGTTACTATATAAAAAGTAAATCCAAAAAAATACTGGTACCCCCCAATGAATAAAATTAAATTGAATTTTTTTTTTAAGTGTGGAAAAAAAAAACAAAATTAATTTTTATGTCCTACATAATATAAAATATTTATATAACACATGTAGGCCATCAATATTACATATACTTATACAATATACAAACAAAACAGGTAAATAATTAATTAAAATCAATTTAAATAAAGTCATCAATTCAATTAAATATTTTTCGTCAACAAAATATTGTATAAATAATAAAATAATAAAAAAATACAAAATTAATTAATGTGAATCATTAAATCGAATCAATTATATTTAAAAAAAAAAAACAAAACAAAAACAAAATGTGAAAATAAAAATTATTTAATTACCATTTTAATTATCAATTGGTTGCAATATTTCATTAACACCACTCTTTTATATTTCCTCACAAATTGTTAATTGCAAAAAAAAAAAACTGAAAGAATTTTAACACTTATTCTTTTCACAATTTTTTAACAATATTATTTTTATTAATTTTTCTTTTCATATAAAAATTTTTATTCTTTATTATGATTTCCTCCTTTAGATATTTTTTGCAAAAAAAATAAAATAAAAAAAATAAATAATATGCCGCAACCACCTTTATTGAAATTTCAGTTTTAACTGTGATTCTTACTTAAATTTCCCGATAGTTTTTATTTTGAAGCAAAAATTAAAGAAAAAAAAATCAAAACAAAAATAAATAAATAGCAATAATATTAAAACCTGAATTTGAAAATGTATAGGCCACCAGAATCAACCAAACTACTTGTATATTATCATTCTTATATAAACCCACACATGTTTTTTTTGGTTTTGTTAAAATGTTGTGTGTTTTTCCAAAATTGATGACGTCTATACATTTTTTGTTCTTGTTTTTTTTTTTTGAGAAGAGAATCTTGATTTAGAACAGTTTAATAAAATCTTTAAGTAATGAGTATTCATTCGTGTGAGATTAGAATAAGAATTAAGAAGGAAATTGGCAGGGCAGTAAATTTCTAATTCTAAGAGATTTTTATTTTATTGAAAATTAAGAGAAAGAAAAAACAAAAATAAAATAATTTGAAAGTTCATTTCGCTTCTATAAAATATAATCAGTGTGTTACGGATATTTGTTCGAGAAAATTGTATTAGATTAGGCACAATGCCATTTTATGGCAAATTTAAAAAAAAACTTGGTAGTTTAATTAAAAAATGAGAAATTTCTATTTTAATCAACATGCAACCTTGTTTCCAAATCTTATGGAAATATATGAAATCATGTTTTTGGTCTTAATATTTAAAAGAATTACAAAATTTCGAATCCGTGCTAATTGTTGAATAAAATAGATGTGATACATGTATCACACAATGAAAGCTGTGTTTATAAAAATGAAACTTTTAAAACCTTTTTTTAATGCTCTTTTAAAACACTATTTTGGAAAAAATCCACTTGGCATAATCATTTGAAAACTGAATGCAAAACTATTATTCCGTATTATGCCAAAATTGGCATTAAATATCCTAATATCCCAACACTGCCCACAATACTATTTAAGAGATTAACAAATGGTTATTACTTTCTTTGCAAATTCGAATTAATAAACTCAAATCTCTGGTCTGTCTTAAAATTTTTGTTCAAATTTTGTTTCTCTTTGTTATTTTTTTCTCTTTCCTTGATAATATTGTAGTTTCTCTTATATTTTTAAATTTCAAAACATTGATTTACTCAAAAATCAAATAAAATTATGACGTAATTAAAACTAAAGTTACCATATTAGGGAAATTATACTCAATGAATTATTTATATATTTTGTATTTCGCAATATGGATTTTTTTAAATTAATAAGCGATTAATAAAGACTTATAGAAAATATTTTTAATAATAAGAAATAAATTTAGAATGTATGGCTATTTTAAAAAAAAAGTGTGATGTGTTATTTAATTAAACTCATAATAAAATAGTAACAATTATAGAATAAAAAGTGCTAAATAGTACTAAAACAAATTATTGGACGAGTCTTCTTTCAGCTCTTAGGTGTTAAATCCAATTATATTAAAGTTTACTTCCCCCCGTATTATTTAAACGATTGTTTTGAATTATTTCAATTTTACTCAAGTATCCTTTTATGCTGTAACTTTTGAATTATATATAGAATCCATCCTTTAGAGATTTTTTAATGAAAAGAATGGTTAATCCTATAAATTCATTGCGAAAAGACTATATATTTCTAACAGGTCGTAAACAACGAACATGTCGAAAATATAAAACTCATACTAGTACATTTTATATCTAATTAATTTTGTTTCTTAGCCCCAATTTCAAAAAGAAATTTTTTCAACTCACAAAATTTTATTAATGAAATTTAAAATTATTTTATCAAAATATAAAAATTAAGCAGAAATTTCAAAAATTGTATAGTACACGGAAAAAATCTGATAATTTTATTCTAATGATAAAATTAAGTAGAAAATTCAATTATTTTTTATAAAAGTAGCAATAGAATTACATTGACCTTGAAAACTTTATGTAAACTTACACATAATTTGTTAGTTTACATAAAGTTTTGGGCACTAAACCCCAAAATCCACAAAAAAAAAAAATATTAAAATTTTAATATTAACCCTTAATTTAGCAAAACTTTTTTTACATTTTCACATAGAAAAATTTACTATTAATAATTTTACGACACTCATAGTAATAATTTTCAAATTTGCACTCTTTACTTTTTATTATTAATCTTATAATAAATTTTTCTATACATTCAAATATAAGAGAAAATATACTTAGTCAATGATTCATGAGATTATTTAAAAATTTCGTATACTAGCAAAAAAAAAAATCCCAAAAAAAAAAACATAAAAAATTTCCACTAAATCTTCCCTTTTTAGCACTTTTCCAAAAATTTTTTTGAAAAAAGTGCTTATTAGTTTCACTCTGTCCGTCCGTCCGTCCGTCCGTGGACACTTTTTTTGTTTACAATACTTCTACACCTTTGAAGATAGAAAGCTGAAATTTAATACATAGATCTTCACTAGAAACTTATTTCCGTAGAACAAAATTTTTACCTATCTCCCCCCCTCTAGAAGTTATACCCCCCCAAAACCCTAGAAATGGCCTTTTTTAAATATTTGTTGCAATGAAACCATAAGCATTTTTGAAATTTCGCAAACGCAGAAAGGCAGTGGCTAGCTTCCCCTTGCGCGGTATGCTATAGTTAAACTTTAGAAAAATAAAATGGCCGTTCAAATTTACCGTTATCTAAAGTCCTTTTTTTCCAAATTTTTGATGTCGTTTTTCTTCTAGACCCCAGACTGTAGAAGCTTGAAATTTTAGGAGCTTTTAGATATTAACAAATAGTTCATTTTGTTAGAAAAAAATTTTTTTCCATCTTCACCCCCTCTCAAGTTATCACCTCTTGAAATTCGTAAAATTTGAATTTTTGACACCTTATATTTCCGAAACCGCAAGCTTTTCCAAATTTTTATAAACGCAAAAAGCTAACGGTAAATTCCATGAAATTAAAAAATATAATTATTTTTCTTAACTCACACAATTAACCCTTAAAATCGAGCATTGTGTTAACCCCTTTTTATATTAATTTTTGCTTTATTTCAAAGACTGCATATATGCGTCATCCTAAATATATGCAATCCTACAAATAGTTTTGTATATGAATGAAAATAATTTTAATAGTGTGATAGCTACACATAGACTGTATTTAAAAGCAGAATTTTCACTTGTTGAAGGGAAAAGTGCTACAATACGAACCATTGGTTTGACCCAACTTTATTTCTAAATATCTTTTCTTTTATTTTACACTGTTTAAATTTTACACCAAAATAAAAATAATCTAAAGCAGATAAAAGGTAAAAAAAAAACAAAAACAAGAAAACAAGAAGACTAAAATTTAAGCCACAAAACTTCACGGTCCCTATTTTTTTATGATTTTAAATGTTATACGAGTACTACTATGCTTTTTTTTACACTTTTTATGCTCCTATTTATTTATTACACCAACTTTATGTCATTTATAGTGATGATGACAGAACAACCATCTTTTTATGCACCCTTTTTTTATCGTTGTACATACATGTATGCATGTGCTTATATATAGAGGACCTACATATTTAGTATATAACTTTATTCTCATAAACGTATACGACTACAATTATGTTGAAGATTGTAAAATGCAAAAAAATAAAAAAAAAAATAACAAAAAACGAATATCCTTTTGGCTTTTTGTCTTAATTTTGTTTGACATTTTCACTGTTTCAATCTTCCAAAAAAAAGAAAAAAAATTGAAAATTTTATTTTTTACGATTATTTTCAATTTTTTATGTAAATGTACGTAAAAAATACCAAAATATGAAAAAATAAAAATAAAAATAGAATACGAAAACAAAACAAAAATTCACAATAGTAACAAAATGTATCAACACCTACATACCATTTTTTATTATTCGCGTATACAAACAAACACACATTACAGTTTTGCTACATTAACATACATTTTACATGCCGGCGTATACCACTACCAGTCTACATGTATGTACTCGTATCAACTATTCCAATAACAAAAAACGATGCAAAATTTATTGTTCCTTACAAAAAAAAAATTTATATTTAAAGTTGAAATGATGAAAATTTCATAGTTAAGTACCGCGAAAAAGTGCTTTATTGTGTGTAAGCATAAAATTACAGTCATTGAATATTTTCCAACAAGTATGTATAACAAGCATATATGTATTATCATAATATTACAAGTATATAAGAAACCCGAAAATAAAAAACAAAGAATAAAAAACAAACAAATATATTGTAAAAATAAAAACAAAAAAAAAATAAAAAAATTAAGATAAAATTCTTCAAGGATCTGTTGAACTGTAAATGAGTTTTGAATTTGCATACAAAATATAATATGCTTATACTCGTATTTATGTGCGTATGTATAAGGATATTATATTGATACGAGGTAGAACACATTGTATGTAATAGAGAGTGTCTCAAGAGTAACGTGATTGTTAAATTTTTTGCTATTCTTTTTCTGTTATTTTTGTAGGATTTTATCGTCTATTTTCAGTATTGGCATTACACATTGAAAATTAAAATTAATATTATAATCAATAATGGATTGATAAGTGTGGGGCGCTTATATATTTAATTATGTAATATTATTGATTAAGAATATTAACATGTTTTCAATAATAATGGTACGTATAATATAGTTACTTAAATCAAAAAGTTTTATTTGCGTTTTTCTGTTATCGGTGGGAGAAGAAATGACAAAGTATCAGTTTTGAATATATTACGCATCAGAACTGAGATTGTATAGTTGTTACAGTGAAATTTCCTTATAAACCTGAACATATATGGTGCTTGTGTAACTCAAGATATAAATTATACTAGATTATTTAAAGCAATAAAACGGCCTCAAATCCTAAAATTATAAGAGAAGGTTTCTCTTTTGAATAATTTCAATTTACTTTAAACTCAAACATTAATTTTATACAATGCAACCGAAATCTGCTTTTAAAAAGTGCAAACTCAAATATTTAGTGAGTAGTACGAAATCTCAATTCGATTAACATTAAAATTTCTTAATCACATTTTTCATTAATTTTATAAGATAAGGAGTTCCCTGGTACACTCGATAACTGAAGTTCACCAATATTATAGTAGGCACATCAATATTTTTAATAAATATATGTACATATATGTATGTATGTAAAAAGTTTTTCATAAAACAATGAACATCAAAAATATTATATGCCAGTACTGACATACATACATAAACACATATTATTCTTAGATATAGCACATTTGCGAGAAAAATGACATAAGTCAAAATGTAGAGTCGCAAACATGCTTCTATT